ATCAGCGGTGATTAGCCACTAGTGAAGAGGATTGGAGGAAGCTCCTGAATCTGGACGTGTTTTAATCAGGAATGCAGACAAGCAGTTCAATCTCGATTTTATACACCTTTCCACAACCACGTCCACATTCAGGCATTCAATCGATTCCTCTAATATGCCAGTGGAACCTCACCACAGGAGCACACGAAAGAGGCAACACTGCAAAAGCTCATCCAATACAATTATCTTTTGGGTTAAAATTGCAGAAATAGTGCTTTCTTAAAGTTTGGTTGCAAAAATATCGTCGGGCTCCCAAGTTTCTTTGCAAAAATACCCTTTCCGTTTTAGCTTTACCGGGTTCCTTCAGTTACACAGCAAATAGAAAGAAAGAAAGAAAGAACAAAAAAAAAAAAAAAAAAGKGGCGTTTTCACGACTTTCCCAGCACAGGACTCATGGGCCTCTGGCCTCGGCACTCGGAGACTCAGGCCTGACCACCAGCCCAACCGGGCCCCTGCTGTCCATCCCGACGTCTGTGCCGGACATAATCATCCAATCTTTATATTATATATACATATAATTTGATATAAACCGAGGGATAATTTGCAAAATACCCCCAGAAGTTGAGATATATGCCAAAATGCCGCTAAAAGATGTGGGTACGGCGGAATGACCCTCTGATAAAAAAATATTTTGTGAAATACCCCTGCCATCGGTTTGACCCCCATCTTTACAATATACCCCCTACCGGGTACGGTCCAACTTTGCCAAATGCCTTCCCTAGTACTTGCCAATTTCTCCTAGGCTCTATTGCAAAAAAGGCCAAGGCCCAAATGGCAAGAGGTCCAGATTGCAAAGTTGCACACCCGCCTGACAGGGGCAAAACACAAAGATTTCGGCCCAAGAGGGCATTCCGCTCCACCCACATGTTTCAGGGGCATTCTTGCATACATCTCAACTTGTGAGGGTAGTTTGCAAATTATCCCATAAAATTGCAACCAAAAATTGAAAGGGATAATTTGCGAAATACCCCTGTAAGTTGAGATAACTGCCAAAATGCCGCTAAAAGATGTGGGTAGAGCAGAATGCCCTTTTGGGTCTAGTTCTTTGTTTTGCCCCTACCAGGCCCTTGTGCAAATCTGATATCTGGACCGTTCCGTTGGGGCCTGGGCCTGCACTCTGTTTTACCCGGTTTGCCCTCCATACCCGGTGGGTAACTTCGCTGAATACCCCCGCCCATAGGCACGGCAGTTTGCCTCCTTGATTCAAACTAAGTCTTTCTGAGTGTTAGGAAGCTTCGCCCTGGTAAGCTTGCCCATCTCCATCTCCAACATCCTCCTGCCCGCTGCTCCTTCAAAACTCTCTCTCTGTGTGTGTGTGTGTGTGTGTGTGTGTGTGTGTGTGTGTGTGTGTGTGTGTGTGAGCACAACTGCTAAAACGATAGCACCTTCCCACGTGGTTTCCCCATAAAACAACAAATCATCACTTACATTTTACGTCCAAAGCTCGCTGCGTGCTAACAAGCACATCCGCAGATGCGGAGATCGGGACTATAGCATCCCAATTTAGTCATCCGCAGATCCGATCTGCCGCGTGTTGACGAGCAGACAGAATCCGAGGTCGGGATGGCTTTTTTTTTTTTTTTTTTGGAAATACTCTATGGCATGGTGTTCTCCCTTCTTTGAATACGCACCCAAAGGCTTTAATTGTGATTTTACTGTTATGGGAATTTATCGTGAAAACCAAGCATCAAAACGAGAGACGGAAACTACCAGAGTTCTAGCTCTGGGGCCGAGGTCCCACTAGCAAAGAGGATTGGAGAAATCTCCTGAATCTGGACGTGTTTAAGGCAGGCAGAAAAGCAGTTCAATCTCAATTCTCTGCACCATTCCACAAAAAAAGTCCAGATTTAGGCTTTCAATCCAATCCTCTTTGCTAGTGGGACCTCAGCCCAGGCGTGACATCCTCCAAATGTTTAAATAGAGGCCCCAGTTCGAATAGAGTCGAACGACTAACAAAAACAACAACCACAACAACAACAAAAAAAAAAAAAAAAAAAAAAAAAAAAAAAAAAAAAAAAAAAAACAACAGAAAACGAAGGGCGCGTGTCGAGGATTTCAGATAATTTTGGGACGATTTTAAAACATTTTCGATGATTTTCGATTGAAAGAAGACAATTAAAAAACAAAACACATTATAATAAAATAGCAAATTGTTCAAGTGGACTATTTCTACGGAGCTTTTGATGTACGGATGACTCTCAGACTTTAGTGCTGAAAAAAAAAAAAAAAAAAAAAAGACTTCAGTGCTGCGTGTCAACGAGCAGATTCACATTCTCCGAGATCGGGATCGCTTCGTATCCATATGAATCGCGTCCCATGTAATATATGTATTTATCTATTTATCGGAAACCATAAGCATTAAAAAAAAACAAAACAAAAAAAAAAGCATCATGAATAACATTGCGCCACGCCCCACTACTCATCAAATGCACGAAAGACAAAAATATGGTGGTGTATCTTTCCATGTTTTAGCGGAAGATTCATTCTCATTTTGCAGATTTGGTTAGTAGTGGAGCTAGGTCCATAAATGAAATTGACCGCCGCGGAAGTGATAAATTTCAAGACGGAGAACAACAAAATCGACTGTTTGAGAAATTAGCAAAACGACCCATAATACCAAGAGCTAATCCAAAATCACCTACTCAATTCACAAGCATTGCTTCCAAAGCTGCTTTAGTTCCAGCTATGGAAGTCGTGCAAACCCATAATTCCAAGGGCTGGGACCTTCTCTGGTCCTTGCACGGCCCGGGCGGTCCGACTGGTAGCCTACTTTATCATGATTTTTCTGACGTCTTACTGCCTATTTCCGACAATTTTCAACGAATTTTAACGAAACAAGTGTGTATATATCATAGCTGACATCTTATGTCTAGCAGATCGGCAGATCCGAACTCGGGATCTGTCTATCTGCAGATTCCGAGATCGAGATCTGTCTATCGGCAGATTCCAAGATCGAGATCTTTCTATGTGCAGATTCCCAGATCGGGATCCCTCTATCTGCAGATTCCAAGATCGAGATCTTTCTATGTGCAGATTCCCAGATCGGGATCCCTCTATCTGCAGATTCCTGGATCACGATGTCTGTCGGCAGATTCCGAGATCGGGATGTCTATCTGCAGATTGCCAGATCGGGATCTGTCTATCGGCACCTTCCGATAGCAAGATCTTTCTATCCGCAGATTCCGAGACCGGGATCTGTCTAGCTGCACATCCCTAGATCAGGATCTGTCTGTCGGCAGATTCCGAGATCGGGATCGGGATAAGTCCATCATCAAAATTCCGAGATAAGAATTTGTCTATCGGCAGATTCCGGGATCGGAATCGGGATATGTCCATCATCAGAGATCAGAATCTGTCTATCGGCAGATTCCGAGATCGCGACTCCATCCGCAGATTCACATAATATCAAGATCTTTCTATCGGCAGATTCCGAGATCGGGATCTGTTTATCGATTCATCGCAAAGGAGAAGTGTCATCCTACTATGGACTATATACGATCTATAAAAAGGCCAACAATTCCGCGACAGAAAAGCAGCTTGAGGGGGGGGGGGGGGGGCCAGAAAGGGAGGGGAGAAAGGGCAAAGAGGGGCAACAAGAAGGATCCCGAGATCGGGCTCCCTTTCGATCTATATATAAAACTCTACCCATTCGTCAGACTGCGTGATCATATCATCCGACAGACGAATTTTTTTGCTACGGTGCAAACTTTCAAAATTATAAAGAAAAATGAAACGGAGAATTTATCTTTTATCTTTTTCCTTTTTTTCAACAGCCGAGAATTTGTCGTTACTCATGCAAGGTGAAAACGAGGATCCGCGGTCGGCTCGTCTTTTTGACAACAGCAGCTCGCAGTAAACAACAAAAGTGAAAACTCGAAGAGAGCTCGCAGTAAACAAAAGTGAAAATTCGAAGAGAGCTCGCAGTAAA